CCAATTTGAATAAAATGTTGTACATTTACAGTTAAAATATACACTTAACTCTACAGAAAGATGTTAACCTGCCAAGGATTAGTGTGTGGATGGGACTCTCCTCTCGTGGGTTAATCGGACCTTAAAGATTCAATGATATTGTTTACTGGTCATAGTTATCGTGAATTGTCAATGAATGATGCAGTTCCCACAATAAGAAACATGTTTCCGTATACATTGGTGTACTTTCAATAGGATGGTACACCTCCACTCTATTGTCCGTGCCTCTCGCAGAGGGAATGCTTTTGAATACACTCTTGAGGTTTTAAAAAAAACACACGAACTACAGGCTATGACAATGAAAAGGTTTATTTTTTCAAGCCAGAGTTGAAAGTCTGAAAGGGAACAAATTTGAGTGAAAGACTAAATGTATAACATGATGTACTAAATTAGAGTACAAGTCTTAAACAAATCAAATCTTGTTACTTTTAACTTGACTATATAAAAGGGTCTTAACATATTTTGCGTACATCTTTGTAAAGTATGAGGTTTGTATTCTCAATTGTGTCATACACGTGTTTTACCTCTTTTTTTTTTAACTGAATGTTAAGTCATAAATATATTCCATGATACAACTTACCAAACACAAACATTTTATTTATTGGTTAACAATTAGTCTAAATTTTAGTGTACAAAAGTCACACATAAAACTCCGTCTTACACATATTCTAAAGACGCGGAAATCTAAAGAAGATATGGATAAAAATTTATTTGATGTCAGATCAGCAAAGCATAAAAATAAACACTAAACATTTGTTTGTCCACAATAAAAAACATACCCCAACTTCGTAAATGTTTACTAGTTTATTGCCGATCAAAATCAAATGTTAAGATAAAAAAATAAACTTAACCAAACACACACACACACGCATGATATTGATCCTAAGTATTCTTAATACTTTACACTTTGTTCAATATATAAAATACATGAGTAAATACTGACTCAGTAAACACTGTCCTAGTTGTGTTTAAAGACGCAATGCAAAAACGTTTAGTTCAGACATATTTCGAAAATCACAAGCTTTGTTTTATTTATTTATTTATTTTCAAAAGGCTATCTTTCGTCACATTAAACAGTTTACTCATAGGCCTAAGTAAAGGATCTTGTCGATTACTAACTTTCTTTTAAAAGTGAATAACCACTTAATAAGTAAAGGACACATGGCAAGACAGTGTATTATATAGATAGATATTCTGTACGAAATTCTTAAGTTACTACGTTGTGGTAAGGTACTAGAAATCATAACTTTGCAATTGGAATTCTAGTATTTTGGAATTTTAAAATCTGATTAATAGTGAACATTAACATTTTTCAATTGTTTTTGTAAGTTCCAAGCTGTGAAATTTAATAGTTAAGAGGGTTTTTAGGATAAAAATGTCGAAAAGCTAAGAAATTTACTTGTCACAATTTGTTCGTTATTTGTTGATCGCAATAAAGTTTGACGGTGTAAAAGAATAATAAATAAATATCTGTAATATGATAAAATACAATAATTACATAATAAAATGCTCGTATTTACATAAATGATATGACAGTTTGCGTAGGCTGTGGTTTTTAACCACACATTTGCGAATCTTTGACAATTTTCATTCTTAATTGAAAGACCAGTTGTAAGAAATAAGCCATTCTATCTATTCCGCTGATATATAGCTACGTCCATAAAAATGTTCTTATCCAACATTTTAATAAAAGCAAAGTTTAGTGTTTAAAAACGTGCGTCATTGATTGAAGGTAACTTTATCCGTCTCTACCTTCAAATGAACTTCAATAACCAATACTCGTCCAATGTCAAATTTAGTTCTGTTCCTATTTCAATAAAATGGGTTAGATACAGCTACAGAACAAGAAAGCTTAGGATAGATAAAATATCTACCGAATAGACATTGTGACGTTAAAAACATAGACGATGAAGTCAATATTGTTCAAATCACTACAACAAAAGACATTTTTCAATGATCAAACACAACTTTCTTTTCGGTCATCAACTTGTTCGTTCCACGAGTCATCACAGACTTGGTCTTCTACAGTGACTTTGTTGTTCTTTGACTTGTTACTTCGTTTGCGAAGAGACCTCTTACTTAACCTGACTATTAATGGCCACTTCACTTTATGACATTCTCTATCAGAACCTTGTTGCTTGTCTTTCGTTTCAAGGTCTTGATTTAAAGAACTCAATGAATCAGCTGATAATCGTCTAATTAAATTGTTCAGAACGGGGCCATTTGAATCTTGTTCCTTTTCGTGACATGATGATGATGGGCCATAACTATTTGTTGATATGACTGAATCCGTAGTCTTTTCCACTTGGCATGATAATTCATTATTTTCAAGATTCAAAATCGCAAAGTCTTCATTTCCTGCAGAAACTAGATCACCGTCAAACGAATGAGATGATTGTTCTGGCATCAGCGTTTCGATATCTTCCATGTCAAGAACGGTACAACCCTCTGCAACGCCCATGCTTTCTTCATGACTAGCCTCCATTATGGGTTCCATAGGCCTTGAGAATACCTCCTCGTCTTCCTCTTCTAGGTTATTTAGAACCTTGTTTTTAAATCCAGGAACCTCTCTGAACTCTTCGGATTTTTTGTTAGGAAAACGACTATTATTGGCGCTTTTTCGTTCACTAAAGAAAGGTAGAAGTGTGAAGCTCATCCAACTGGTCTGAGATAGAAACGGTTTCCTTCTTCCTCTTTCACCTGGTGGCCGAATAATTTGAGATGCAGGTACTTGGTCTTGCAATGCTTTTCCTGCAAGTCACAAACAATACCCCATTATGAAACTCTTGTGCTAGATTAAAAGGTATTAGTGGGCAACTTGTTAAGATAAAATGTCATATAATTACCATAACATTTGTTGACAACGCATTTTAATGTCTTAGGCTTAGGGTGGGATTTCAGGATTTCATTACAAAGTTTAAAATTGCATTTTAAAACGCACATTGTAAAAATGCATCTCCTCAGCCTAGGTTTTGGAATGGCATATTGGAGTATTTATTTCATGTGATACCTTAAAATAAAAACATATGGTTATATGTTAATCTTTAGTATTCATGTCTTTCATTACAAAAATGTTAAAGATTGATAGAAAATATATTAGCAGTGCACTGAATTTCTTTCTTCAAAAATTTGTTCGTACATTTGAAAAAAACAACAACAAAAAAACTTACATTAATCTGATATATTAGAAATACACACGTTCTTATATTATAACTGACATTACTAGGTAATAATCCAAGTTTTCATAAAGTAAAAAATTAAATATAATAGGTGTAATCTTTGTATAAATTAACTAATATGAGAAGTAGAAACTCAAAAATCTAACAAGGTGTCATTATTTTAAAAACGTTGAAGTTGCACATAAACCGAATTTATTGCGTTACTTCAAGGCTATCAAAATAATTTAAGACGTGATACGCAAATTTAGTTTTAACGACAAGAAATACACGTTTGAGATTTTATAATATAAAGAGTTAACAATAACAATACTAAACAATAGTTAAGGCTAAAGAAACTACAGGATAATTAGATATTGTTAGTTGGAAACATCAAGCCTACCATTGTTGTCAAATATTTGCTGTTGTAAACGGTTCTTTTGTATTACAGATCTTTGTGCGATACTCCCTGGAACAGCATTCATTCAAGAGCAGATAAACATAAAACGAAAATAAAGTTGTTAGGAGGGGAAAAAATACGAATATGTGGAGGAAAAAAGCAAACAAACCATGCAGACTTAGGAACAATTTAAACACAACTGGTAACGTAGGAAGGCAGGATCAGCAAAAATTAACGGTGGTTAAATGTTAGAAACAAATTATAGATATAATATCTAAAAGTTGGATAAGTTGACTGAGAAAGAGAACAAATACGCCCCGTTTGTCTTACCCATCTTCGTCTGTAGTTTTGAAGGACTTTTTTTTTTTTATAATGAGATTAGATTATGTGAAAGTTGTTAATTTGAAATTTGTAATAACAATAGGTTAAAAGTTCGAGATAAGAACAGCTTGGCCATTTCAAAAAAATTCATAAATTACTATTTTCATTAATATTTCACTTACCAAAAATTAAACAATGGCCAAGATATTTAAATATGGTATGTTCTATTATATGTAACGACGTACTGAAGCCAGCCGAGAATCTTCATATATCAAACCTTTTTTCTCTCTCCCCTAATTGACAAGATTTATTGAATGGTAGAATTTATTATACAAGCAAGTTTTTCGATGAACTTGTCAAACTAAACTGTTATTTATTTACTGACGGGTAAACAAGTAAATATATTTTTAAAAACATCTTTTGTTTTATTTTTTAAACACCACGTTTCGCTAGGTTTACTTAGAATCACCAGTTTTACCACCTGGTTTTTAAATACATATGTTCATCGGTAAATAAATAACAAAGGAGTAAATATTGATTTCCATAATGGTTTAAATAGTTAAATAATTATTTTAAAATAACCATTGATGAATGAATCTAACTTAGTTTCGAAACTGCTTTTCGCTTACAAGGTTACAGTTAATTTCCAGTCCAAAAGCCATTTACCATTGCATTTTTCTAAAACATACATTTCATCTTTTCACCAACTTTGATATATTTAATGATCAATGATTATAAAAGTTATATTTTTTTATATAAAATATTTTCTGGGTAAAATGTTTTTATTTTATGTAGTTAATAATAATATACATACTTTTCAATGAAACAAACTTACTGACTGCACAGAATGAAGCCATATTTTAAGTAAACACACTTGCATATATAATTTGAAGAATACACGTGTGTGTCTATATATATCCTTAAATAACAAAAAAGTTTATTTACTCAAGAGAAACAAACTATTATCATGTACCAGTATTTATACTCGTTATGACAAAACAACAAAAAACAGCTTACCCGCCGACATTAATTACTGTTTGATGATAACTCATTGATTTAAGAATCAGTACCAAGTAAAGATGCAATAATCTACACTCGTTCAATATGTCACACGTTAAGTTCACGTTAGACATCATCATCGCTGAAGAAATGGTGAGTATAACAGTTCCGGGATATTTCAGCTACAGAAAGTCTGGTTAAATATTTCTTTGTTGAACTTGACGCATTAATTTAGAAGTGATACACATACTAGAGGGAACGAAGGTCTTCAACACCACCCACACCCAACTGTTGGGCTACTCTAATCAAATAGTGGGATTTACTCACATTATAATGTCCCCACGTATGAAAGGGCGAGCAAGTTATATAGTGAGTTTCGATCTCGCAATTTGAGAGTCGAGCGTCCTAACCAAAAGGCCAAGTCCAGTTAAATAAATAAATACACCAACATGCTAGTGTTTATTATTTTCAAAAACACATTTCATCTGAGTTTTTTAAAAATACTAGTGTAAAGTACAAATACATAAACATAATTTTAAAATATTTTCATTAATTTAAAAACGGAAAATTTGTTAAGATATGATTAACTTCTGAACCAAGCAAAGTACTTGTTCGGAAGAGAACTAAAAATCAAACCAATAATTAATAGATAATTTAGAATTTCAGTTTAACCAGTGGTATTTAATATTAAAAAATAATGGTTAGAATGCATCCAGCTATAACATAATTCTTGCATTTGTGTCAACTGTTAACAGAAAAATGAAAAACAAGTGCAGTACAAACATCTGTCAAAACTTGTTGCACCAAGAAGTAGAGAAAGTTCCTTACCTACTGAGGACTGAATTGACGATCGACCACACATAATTTCCTTGTATCCCTTTCTGAAAGAATGACTTCTAAATGCATAGATGATGGGGTTACAAGCGGAGTTCATGTAACCACACCAATAGGCCTAGAGTAAAATGTAAGAATAGATATGTCTAAAAGTATATTAGTTTTAATTAGCTGAAATCGTGAATAAGGTAAAATTGAGCAATATAAATTAAAACCAACCAATGGTAAAATTGTACATACACACAAATAATTACATATAAAGAAGTTGAGTACTTTATATTAAAAAAAAGATTTTGGAGCATCAACACGTTGCTTTTACCCATGTCACCACGTTCAGTCGTGCTCTATCTGACGACCGTGTACCCTTGAAAATAGCCCTGCAGCGTAGTTTCCATTACTAAAGGCACCATCGTAAGGCTATCATGTTTAAAGTACACCCTTTCTCTCCGATGGCTTTCCATAATCCATCTGATGCACAGTTTCACAGTGCCAGCTTTCAACAGCCGATTGCATATGTCCTGCATCTGGCGATTTGACTGGCATTGTTTCTTATAGAATACCATGAAAACCCGCTAATTGAAGTAACTTGTGTACACGTGAATTGTGTCGCCTTTCCTTCTTGATTATGGTGTGTACTGTTGTAAGGGTGGGTTTGCTGAGGCGGAAGCTACCCCAAAATGTGCCTTAACCTAAACTTTAGTCCCCGCACCCAACGAACAGTGCTTACTGTTAAAGCTGGTTAACTTTCTATATACTGTAGTTTGTGTACCTACCAGCTTTAGAATACACATCACTCACCAGGAAGAGGATGGCGCCGTCCCTACATGAAAAGCTTGTGTTAATGGATTCTCACCTGTTACGAATTTTTGCTGGTCTCTTTCTAGTGATCCTGGTTCCCTAGTAGATTTTGTTTGTTTGTTTTGAATATCGCGCAAAGCTACACG